TCTTCGACCGTTTCGGAAATATTGGAGCAACGATTGGCTGTCTCATCTACAAGCTAATCTTGTAGATGAAATCTAAAAATAGGTGACATGGTCATCATAAAGGACGATCGACTTCCACCGAACGAATGGAAACTTGGCCGTGTCATCGAACTTCATCCAGGAGCAGATCAACTTGTTAGAGTGGCAACGGTTAAAACGACTTCTGGAATTTATAAACGAAGTCTTTCGAAAATCTGCCGTTTGCCTTTGCCATCTTGTTCCTCCCAAGATGACACAACACAGAACTAACCACTATGATCGCTTCCTTGCATGCCATAACAGACACTTGCTTTCTTTTCTTTGTAGCAGGTTTCCGGTTCTTTGGTTTGAATGCTAGCTCCAGCATTGGGGGCGTCATGGAAAATTTTGCAATCTATTTGAACCGGCAACTGTCATTTATCGTAGCCCTGGCAGCTCTGGTCGACGAGTGATGCCCAACCTTGCTAATAATCGAGATACCTTGTCGATCCCTTTTGTGGCTCGATAAAATACAAAAGAGTGCGATTTGAGAAGCCGAAGCGAGTGGACGCGTGGTGTGTGCGCGGGAGAATTCGAGTTGAGTGACCGAGGCAAGCGGACGTGTTTGTGTGCACGGAACAATAGCGAGTTAGAAGTGTGTGAGCGAAGCGAAAAGAGAGACTTTATATATGTGCCGGAACATTTTAGACATAGAAAATTCGGTGTATTACATTGTAGGTTAAGCTTGAGATTACAATAAAGTGAAATAACGTTACACCCCTGAGCAGTTAAAGTCAGTATGCTCATCAATGCCGCTACAAACGAGTAGCGACACAACACAATGAAATATATAAATATTCATTCTCAATATCGTATCCATCCGTATCGAAATCTTCAGCAATGTCAGATGTTTGTGAAATTTAATTAAAATCGGTTCAGAAGTTTCAGAGTTTATCAATACATGTATATGGAAAATAGATATATAAGTATATCCCATTTCATCAGATTAGTTGTGGCAATCAAGTCAAATTTGTTAAACAATTTTGTTTTGATTGAATTTAGAATTAAAATTAAAATAGTATTCATTCCCATGGACACCATTACGTAAATGTAATCATATATAAATATATCACATATATACAATTATCACAATAAAATATATATTCATTCTCAATATTGGATGCCATCAATTGCACTGGCATTGTTTCATATATTGGACAAAATTGGGTGGATATAATGCTAGTTAAAGTATTTAATACCTTTATGATATGCAAAGGTTACCAAATGAAGAATTTGCATGCCTAGATTATCTTCTAAAATATGCGTTCTGGTTTTTATAGCCTGTACCCAAAGAGTAAAAGGTTATACTAGTTTTGTGCGAATGTATGTAACAGACAGAAGGAGGCGTGGCAGACCCCACAAAGTATGCATATTCTTGATCAGGATGACAAAGCGAGTCGTTATAGCCATGTCCGTCTGTCCGTCTGTATGAACACAAGGATCTCAGGAAGTACAAGAGCAACAAGAAAGGAATGCTAAAGTCGAGCAGGCTCAACTCTTAAATACCCTGTACCACCCCACAAAAAAGTAATTAAATTAATTAATTAATTAAATTAAATTAATTAACTAAATTAATTAAATTAATTAACTAAATATTAACTAATTAAATATAAAATATTCCATGCATGCATACATACATTTACAATTACATCAGAATCGTGTCTATGCGTGTTTGTGTACTTGTACATATGTATGTATGTGTGCATTGAGCCTGGTTATATGGCTATAACTTTCTTTCCGATCATTTTATCATAATGAGACTTGGTATACGGTTATATAATTACTAACCTAATGTGACTACCAAATTTCAAAATTCCAAGAATTACGGGAGTTATAGAAAATCGTTAATAGGGGGGGAGTGGGGGGGTGGATCAGAAAAAATGAACAAACTCGTCCTTTCTCGGTCTCAGGAGAATCTGTATACCAAGTTTGGTTATTCTAGCTCTTATACTTTCGGAGATCCTTGCGTTCATACAGACAGACAGACGGACAGACGGACATGGCTATATCGACTCGGCTTGTCATGCTGATCAAGAATATATATACTTTGTGGGGTCTACCAAGCCTCCTTCTGTGTGTTCCATGTGCACTCGCACTAAACTAATATACCCTTGTACCCTTTGGGTACAGGGTATAAAAATAACCAAACTCGGTATCCAGATTCTCGTAAGTCCTAAAAAGGACGAGTTTGTGTTTTTTTCTGATACACTCGTTGTCGCGAAAGAAAAAGAAAGAGTTAAGATAACTCATCTTCCAAAACTAATTAATTTTACAAACAAGCTTAACCATTTTGAAATTAAACACTTTAATGGAAATGAATCACATTCTAAGCACTCTACGACATATATTTCAAATATTCGGTGGCGCATATACATAAATGTAACATATATTACGTACAATACATTTTATTACACAACTACTTTTTATTATATCTCGATCAAATCCATGCTTTGTGTATAATTTGTGTATATTCGTTGAATTGCTTTTAAAAATTCCAATAATTTATCATCGGTTGACAATTTTGTAATTGCTATTAAAATGGATGCGTGCCCAATATATAATTGTATATATTCGTATATAATATACACATATGTAAATATATTTATATCGCAAATTCTTGTATTCGTGTTTTGTGTAAAAAATACGCATGAGTCAAGTCTTTTGTTTGTAATGTCTTTTGGTTTGTTAGGTGTGTGCATTTTTACTAGCTTGGTTTTTTCCCCAAATATTTTATATACTACGTATAATTGTTTGTGTTAATAATTAATTATGGTGTTTCTTGTTTAATGTAGAAACAAACAATGTCGCTGTATTATTTATATAAACTCAATTTATACAAGTTCCATAAATCGTGCACAATTCGCACAAATCTGTGAAAGTATGCACTTGTGCTGGATTGCTTCCATTTCCGTTACCAAGTGAAAAGCATTTCGATAGTATCAAGGGATTTCACTTAACGTATTTCATTTGAGTGGAAATGGAACACGGTTGACACAAATAACAGCAGGGTTTTATGTTTTCTACTTGCTTTTACTGCCGAAGTATATATATAATACTTATATAATTAATTTCACTAACTGAAAGGCCAAACTTTTTAATCTAAGAATAGCCGACGTAAGAAATACTTTAACATTTGTTTTCATCCTTTACATTTACAAAATATATATAATAGCACTTATCCAAACACTTTTCAATAACTCGCACAGCTATAGGAAACTGGAAAACATTCCTACTTTATTATTTATACTAATATGTTATATATTTAAATACGAACCATGTCATTGTTTTCAAATCAAATACATCGTGGTACACGCATTTAAATATATTTTTTCAAGAGTAAAATAAAAACAATAGATTAATTTGAAATAATTTTTGCTAATCTGGCAGAACCTAGCCTTGGCTAAATACTTTTCTATATTATAAACATATCATTGATGACTGTGTATGTTCTATTAATATTGCATTTACTTTGTATGATGAAATAAATTAAGTACAAGAAGAGAATAAATAAAAGAAAACCTTCCAGAATTTAAGCCTTTTGTGGACATTTCAAAGGTCAAGAATTACGTGGAAACATAACAGACACCAAGATCTTGACAAAAATCAATCCTATCCAGTTCCAAATTTTATACTCTTAGTTTAACGCAAATTAGGAAACCGGTAGTACAATTTCAGACGCAAATATTCTTACTATAATATAATATATAATACTATAATATAATATATACAATATTAGCCGGGGGTGCGACAGTTTGGCAATATTTTTTATTTTCACGGCATATACCTTGGTGTATTTGATATATTTGTTGAAAGTTCAACATAAATATAGTGTACCTAAAATACAAGCATACAAATCTACACATGGAATCTAAAGCTACGGCTGGTTTCGCTGCTTTTTGTAGTCAAGCCATTAACAAAGAAGTGGATGTCTATCCCTTCCATTAAAAACATTGTAAGTATTGTAAGACTGTAAATAAGGTACATTGCCAAATATTTTGAATGTATCAGTCCTGGCTAAAAACAGAACGTACATTTCTTGCAACAAAACAAATGCAACAGCGCTATTTAAATTTTTTCAACAAAAACTCGATGCTTAAGTTAACACTAGAACGACCGGGTTTCTTACTATAACTTCAAAGACCGTAACGGTCAATTTGACGGTATAATGAATTTATTCAGAATACTCAAGAAATTATTGCGTATTTTGCTTTAAATTTATATAAAATATAGTACCAATTTATTCTTTATTTAAATTAAAATTTTTTGTTGAACTGGGCATTATTTTGCTTTAAATTTATGTAAAAAATATTACCAATTTATTTTTTATTTAAAATAAACAACTTTATTAGTTATTATTTATTTGACATTGCCGTCTTTCATTGTTTGTTAGTACTTTGTTCACTTATTTCAGAACTATTTTAATGCTTCGATTTTTTTCACTTACTCTACACATACACGTACCTTCCGGAACGGAATCGACAAAATCAAGTATATTGTAAAAACCCGAATGGGCCATCTTCGAGTTCCAGCTCTTTTTTCATTACCTATGCTCACGTTGGAGTGCAGAGTACTCAAAATAATAACATTTTTCCTGATTTTAATGGATAAACATTAAGGTTTGTGTCGATCTCTGTTTTCATTATAAACGTTTCATATCCAGTAGAACGAATGTATATACAAATCGACGATACCTCTCGTCTTGCGCGCCGCATTTTTCCAACAATACTCGTCTTTTAGATCATTAGTCTATTTCATTGTTCTATTCAGAAGTATTGAGACGGCATTTTTATAGCAATTCACAAGAACACCTTACTTAGAACTCTAAATAAATAAAAACAGGAGCCCCCGCATTAGTTTGTACACAACTTTGTTTAGTACTTATTACTGCCTTCATATGTGGCCAATTTGACGGTATGTGGCCTTAGTAGGAATTTGAAATGGAATCTCATTTACTACACATAATTTATTAGTCTTTTATATAGATTTAGGATAACATTATCAAATTTTTTCCTAATTTTCCTAATCATAAAATATGAAAAGAACCAAAAACATTGTTCGTAAAATATTTAAGAATGAAATCGCCGAACTGTCAAATTGACCGCCGTGGGGCAACATTTCGAGTGAAGAGAACCGTTGCAAATATTTAATTGTTATAATTTTTGTGCAATGTTTTGTTTAAAATAAAATATGCTAAATATATGGTGTTGCTGTGTTCCCTTTATACATTTACTAAATTGATCAATTGCTATGACAAAAAGAGTGTTATAAGAAACAACTACGTGTGTAACGAGCATTCTACGCCTAAGCTTTTATAATTCACACATACGAGTTGTCACTCCTAATTTTGAAATATTACAACTATAGATATATATGCATATAGCTTATTTATAAAGCAATCAATTTAGTTTTGCACTGAGCTGATGTCCACATCTCCTGCAAGTGATCCTGTGCATCTGCATTCACGACACGCTCGGTTGGTAAATTGTCGGCTGAGACGGTGGTCGGGGACAGAACGCCGGTCTGAGAAATAAATAAATATAAATAAAATATATCCATTTGTGACACAGAATTGTATTCTAAATATGTTGTGGACCTGTTCCAGTTTGCACAAATTTATGCTTGCAGTCGTTTTAAAATTTGCGGAAACTGGAAAGGACTGGATGATCATTGTTTATCCTAATATCCTCGTTACCTTGGTGGCTATCTTGCGTGGATCCAAGTTGAAACCAATATTCTGCATGCCCTTGGCCAATTTTGAGAGTGGACTGGCGATCTGTTTGAGCTTGTTGGCCTCGGAAGTATTCGAAGCCAATGATAGATTGAGATCTCTTACTGCGACACTAAAAACGCGCCATTCAAAGTAAATATTGTACATTTGTTTATCGAAGAAGAATAACGCGCTATTGGAATTAATTGACTATTTATTTGAGCATATGTATGTGTAGTTATGAAAGCACGTTGAGCTATATACTCGTTGGTAAGTAATTTTAAGTGTATGTGTGGAGCAGGCACATATACTGAATTTGTACGACTAAACAACATGCTAACTCTAATTGGTTATACAAGAAGTGGGTATATAAAACAGTTTAAAATATATATATGTATATAATAGACATACAAATGTATATAGAACTTATGTACTGTAGTAAATGAGACACACAAAAAGTTGATTACAAAACACAAGTATGATACATTGGCTAATTAACAATTAAAACATAAACCAAGCCACCAAACAACTCATTGGCCCAACTACAAAACGACAATCAGGTGTAGAATACCGACCTTGAGTGCGGCATCACCTGCTCTTGCTCCTGCTCCTGAGCTTCCTGTGCCTGCACGCAAATTTGTGGATTTGGTGTGATAGGCCGTACAAGCGGTGCATTTTCCAGCAGGCCCGTAGGTAGACCAACATGATCCGTCACCGACGTAATGGAAATGGTAAGCACGTCTTCGGCTGTTTTGCGCATGCTGTCCTTTTGCCCCAGCTGTTGCATATCTTCGGATGAGGTGGGCGAACTATCCTTCTGGTTGGCCATAACAATGCCCACGGAGGGCATAAAAGAATTCTCCTTGTAATTCGACTTATTGAGCGCCGAAGCCGATAACGCCAGATCCACATCTGAATCCGGATCCGGTTCATAGAGACTATTGTCATGCTCTTCTATGTCGCTGCTGCTATTGCTATTCGAATTGAGTTTTTTCCCGCCCAGTGTGAAAACAGCCTGATCCGCCTCGACGCAAGAGTCCACGTCATTGCCGTCGGACTGTCGCATTACTTGCGGATTAATTGTGGCGGTCAGGTTGTTTGCCTGCGACTGTTGTGACGTTGCGTTGGGTTTCTTGAAGGTCTGACCCAGTTTCGAGAATTGACCGGCGACATTGGATAGCGCCTTAGAGCTGAATTGCACCAACTGAGATTCCGAAAGATTCCGTGGCATGCCTTTGGGTACATCTAAAAGCGGCATCTTGCTTTTGCGGCGCTGCAGCACTCCGTCTGTTATGAATCGCACTGTTGTGTTGTCCACATTTTCCAGAGCTATGCGGAACATTTCCACAATCGAGGTCATCGATTCGGTGAGCTCTTCCTGCGTTTTGATCACATATGCCGTGTTGTTAAAGAACCGTAGATTGGCCGACCGAAACATGTGATAGTATCCATCCTGTCCGTCTAACATATAGCTTAAGCGTACGCAGAGCAATGCAGGTGCCGATCCTTGAAAGATCTTTGTCTGCTGATACATGCCCAACTCTACGAGTGTCACGTGCTGCAACTGCACCTTCTCGAATCGCACAATTTTATCCAAGTGCGAGTCGTACTCGGCCACAATGTAACAGTCGTCCGTAAGCAGCAACACGCTATCCACTTCCGTTTCATTGATATCACCAGATCTGAGCATAAATAATGTTAAAAGCATTTAGACATTAGCTCAAATCTCAATCCAAAATAACTATCCGTTTGATGTGATTTGAACTCTCGGAAGCTAGTATAACAATTTAATCCAAGGGGAAGATGAAATACTGATTTACCTGGGATGCGCATCAATAAGTCCCCAAGCACCCACTGGATACTGCTCCGAGCCCAGCAGCAGACGTCGACAATCCTCTACAAGCATTTTGGCATGTTCAGCACCCTCGGCGGCATCTGTATCATCAGGAGCAGCTTGGCCTCCCAACGCGCTCAACGACTCTGAAGAAACCTGATTGCCGAGCATGAGATCGATGGTGGCTTGGCGATACGAGTCCTTAAAGCGTGCCAGATAGTAGCTATAAATCAGAGACAAATATTAGTATCCTAATATTGGATGAATAGATAGAGCAGAAAATGTGTGTGCAAGGAAGATGAGGAGAAATTATAAGAAAAAATAAAGCAATATGCAATACCTTTTGTAAAGTACAAAATAAAGAAATTGCAACAAGTGTAGCAACAAAAATGTGTAACTGCTTGGGTTCATTGGATTCTTCCGTAACAGCATCGGGCAGTTCATCTGGAAATCTTTGCTGTCGCTTTTGCTGCTTAAAGCCTGCCCACCTTGTATAGACGATAGTTTCGATCAGCTGCAGTTCGGGTCCTAGGACGCCCGCATGGTAATAACCATGTAAGGGGGCGCGCGTCTCGGGCGTAAGTATTTGCATAATGGTCGACATCACCTCGTCCTCATGCAACTGATCGGCCTGTAGCAGCTTGCCCTGCATTAGATCGATAATGCACTGGCGAAACGAATCGGCAAAGTTTTGTATGAGGAAACTACGAAGAAGTGGGCATGTAATTAGGTAGCTATTCAATTGATTTGTATAATAATGAAGTGGGTATGAATTAGAGCATAAACTTCACCCAAGTTGTTAGTGATAGCTTAGCGGATCTGATTAGGTAAGAAGCTGGCATATTTAAACTACCATATACAGTTTTGGTTCCTATTTTTGGGTGAAGCGTATAGCAATTGAGTTTCATAAAAACGAACAAATGTCCCATAAGAAGCACTATCGGTCAATAAAGAGTGCAGACCGGAATAATAAATGTAGAAACATAGGAGAACGATTCAAACCATTCCGCAAAGAAAAAATGTAAAGATTAAATTTAAGATTATCTGAACGTTAACGTAAGTGGAATATATATGTACAGTTCGGTGCAAGTTTCTTAAACTTGAAAATATTTTGACTTTTGTTGTCCGATAGTGTCAAGCATAAACAATAATAAGGAGATCGAAAGAAATGAAGCATGCAGCATTAGTGACGAGTGCTGTAAAAAATTGTGTAGTCCCCGTGATCAAGATTTGTGAACTATAAGCTTTGTGTCCGTACAATATAGTCTATTATCATTGGGCATTGTAAATTATTCGCTATAAATGTATGCCTATTTTTACATTTTATCAAGACCTACGGGGCGTCCAGTTATGGCAACAACAGCATCAATAATTAATTTGATTCCGATACTTAAACAAATTTTTCATACGTAGACTCGGCTTTAAATTACATCGATCCTTTGTCTGTCAATATCAAGTTTCAGCGCAATAGCCCTAAAAGTGATTGTAACAGATTGGATTTGTGGCGTCATGCTGATCTTATTTGCAGTTCCTGGGAATCTTACATTTTTCAGCGAAGGTTATATTAAAGAGGCCTATTGCCCTGTTGAGGTAAAGGATTATATTCAAATACAATTTAAGCCTGATTGATTGTCAATCTTTCCCGTGATTCACAGTTAACGAACTAAAATATCAACAATCAGAAGCATTTGAAATCGTTAAACCCAAGCTAATTACATTCCGTAGATATTGGTATTTACAAATGGGCAGTTAGCAAAACAAAATTGTGAGATGTAAGCAGCAAAGAATTATAATATCGTAATACTGTACTGAAAATTTTAAAAACTACCAACCGATTAGCAGAATTCATTCCATCCTTCATCATACCACTAATCTTCCGCTCGCCTGTGCGTGTATAATCACCCTGTGGGAGCAATAAAAAAAGTAAGTACGCTTATTCTGTTTCTAAAAGAAGTGCTACTCACCTTTAGTGCATTAGTTCCTGCATATTGCCGACTAATAATATCACCATTGTTTGCCCACAACACCATAAACGGAGACTTTAATCTGTCTGGTATGGGAGTGTACGGTGGCGATAGTCCCAATTTTACGAGCTGCGACTCGAGCACTGCCTTGCCAATGGCTGTTTGCACCACATTGGTGCGATCCAGACAGTCCATGCAGTTAACCCGGAATACTGATTTTTGATTGCAGATCATTCCGCGCTGATCGCGCCAATGGAATCCCATAGAACCAGCTTCTGGGCCCAAAGCATCGGTTAAAGCCGAGACATTTTCGAAGCGCATACCGCGACTAACAAGATATATTATTTTAGAGATATTTCTGACCATTGATTGTCGGCCAACTCACCAATAGTCGTGGAAATCGAAGGTTACATAAATCATATTTTCGTTGTTGTATTTTATCACATGGTCAGCATAGGCGTCCCCAATGAGCTTCTCTTTGCCGCTCTGCTCCACCAAATTGACAATGCAAACGCGCTCATAGATGGCCAGCTCTTTAGAAAAGTGTAGCTCGAAAGCCTCCTGCGTTTCAGCTGCGCCTCGATCGAGGCGTGGAGGAGGTCGATATTTGTAACCTGGTTGGCTCCAATAAATTGGCACCGATCCTCGTACCTGCGTAAAGGACAACTGATGGTGGCGAAAGGTGAGTATTTGTTCTGTTTCCACGTAGTTGGCACAGTGCCCTTTTTCATCGACTCCACGCCGCTTATAGCTGTGAAAACAACAGAGGTGAGTGGGCTGCTTAAATGCCTTCAATTGCTTAAGATCTCACCGCGTGCCCGCACGATGACGCGAACGTCGCGACACTAAGGCTAAAGTAAAGCATTCATTTCCTACGACGCAGGGCTCCACTTGCACAAAGCCTTGTATAATAGGTAGTATCCAGGTTTTATCCTGAAAGCATTACAAAATATTAAAAGAAAACTTAATTAAGAGATATATAAGATGTTATACTGTTTAATTACATTTAATTGAACGATGTCCTTGATCATGTGCATGTTCCAAAAGAAACGTTCGTCGGGCTTCTGCGATGCTGCATCCTGACGCTGCAAATTGTTTGTTATATCGCAGTCAAAACTGAAGTAGAAACTATCCGTATCGTCAAAGATTTTGTGCAGCTCCTCCGTTATGCGTTTTTCGATGCGCTTGGGTTCACGGATGCCCACCGAAGACTTGACCTGGTTGGAGACAATTGCCGCCCCCTGCTGAGTGGTGTTCTTAATAGTATTTCCAGCGATCTTCACCGCACCCCACGTCTTATTCATTAGCTGTGTGCCCTCAAACAGCTTGGTTTTAGCGCCTGCCGGTCCGTTAAGAGAGCTCGCATTGTTGTTGCTATGTGAGGCTTTGTGTGTGGGCGTGGAATTGTTGCTTCTAGCGGAGGTAATGGAGCTTTTAATATGATTAATGACATTATTTAGCACACATTTTGACTCACTTGCTATGTTTTGTGCAGTTGGACAGCAGAGCATCTGGTTCTTCGGCACTCAATATGGCTATCGATTTGATTTTATACACCAAGTGCGGGGGATAAAGTACGCCTACGGGAGTGGCCTCCTTTACAACGACCAGATGAGGTTCATAAACATTGGGTAGAGAAATTACGCCCACAATGCCGTGCGTCACGCCAATGCACTCAATATCATCCACAGAGCTCAAGTCCCAGCCTACGTATATAGAATTAAATACATTAATTATACTACTCGTACATACTATACATGTATGTATTTATTTGGAATGCTCCTGTGCTCTAATTAAGCCGGACTAATTGGCTCCTCGGACGAAACAGGACATCCATTTGTATATTTAACAAACATTAATTTATATTGTTTGCTTTATGGTCGCCTAATGAATGTCATATGATTGATATTTCAGTTATTTAGGCGTTCGGAGCCCATTAAACATATAAATACTTCCAAAATAGTGGGGAAATCTGACACGGCTTATGTACATACATACATATGTATGTAAGTACAGTGCATAAAACAGGCCACGCACATACCAAATACTTTTGTACTCAATACTATGAACGTAGTATTCCGGGCCCCAATAAAAAGGGTGAATTATTGCATAGCAGTCAGAAAATATCTTTAAAAACTTAATATAAGTCGCCGAGTATGTTTTTTCATGGCCTACGCCCCTTTGATTTCAGCCTTCGTTCTACTTTTAGATCTAACTTTGATAAAAATGACAACATACTATACGTTATAATAGGGCATTGGTTGTATCCTGCGACCTTCCGCACTCACGGCATAGTACAGCATCTTTATAACTATAACTAGGCCAACAACGAAATAGACATTCAACACACTAGCTCGTGAACTAAATGCAACCACTGCACTTTTTACTCTGAGAGAGAACAAGTGTAAAAAATTCCACTTTACGTGGCAAGTCATCATTCCACATCCTTGCACGGAAGCTTAGGACATGCGTAAGTGCCACTCGGCGGGGACATGGCTTTGAAATGATGCCATGCTTTTAGACAGAACAGTAGCGTCAGCAGAATTTCATCAGCCTCCGTAGAAAAAATAGATACAAAATGAACAAGTAAACTCATGCACGTACAGAAAGAATGCTTTTTAATCTTATCTAATTTTAAAGCACGGCAGCACAAACAATAATGGGCAGTGCGTAACCCTTAAAATTCATAGAACTTCCAAGTATTAGCGCAATCGATAGCCAAATTCTGAAAGCAATAAATTATGAGGTTTCTGGGGCTGTCCCACCCCATTTCCCAGAGCCCTCCAAATGAGAAAGACAACAGCGGACCCCCTATTGTCCGCAAAACGAAAACTTGCAAAGTGGCAACAGATTGTGGCCAAAAGGAACTGCGTGTTCGTAAACTTGTCGCAGTGACCTCGAAAGAGATTTATTTATTTTCACAGGACAACAGTGGCCGGTAGTCAGTCGGACAAAGTCAAAAGTCAGGGTCGAATGAGTCATGCCAACAGCCTTTTGTGTTAGATTATACTAATGGAGAATGTTTTTGATTGCCAACGCCAACGCAAAACACAGCAATCCAATCCAAACTAAAACGATATGCAACACGTGTAAAGGACCACCGGGTAGGAGGTCACTGAAGCCCCTTCAATTAAATTTAACACGCAAAGAGTGGCGTGCCTGCCAAATAGAGCACCAGCAAGAGCTCTGCGCAATAAACAAGTAATTGTGGGGAGGAATTGATGGCCAGGCTTTAAATTGATTGTTGCGCTATATTTACCTGAACTATAAATAAAACAGCGAGTATGTCAACTAAGTGTCTTACCCTTTGGGAATCGAGAACCTTGAAATGTCGCGCGGAACATCCTACTCGTGGCTGGCTGCATGAGTGACAAGCAAAGCAAGCTTAATGAATTGATAAGGACACAAGCTTTAGAAACTATGCAAAGCAGTAAGTGCGCAATGGAATTCGGGTCCATAAATATAAATGCGTCTTAGATATAAATGTTATCATGTGTCAAGTACGGAAATCGTAATTTTAAAATCTATGTATGTATGTATATTCAGAGTATGGTCGAAGTGCATTAAATTACTGGTGAATTCATACATAATTAGGTACGAGAAACAAAGGCGAGCCAAAGAAATTGCAGCACATGCGTCAGCACATGACCAAACATCAATAACAAAGGGACAGAAACAATGGGACCATGTTGCGAAATAGCGGCAAGTTGGTGGTGGTGGCAGAGGCTGAGGCTGCGATCGAACCCATGCCACAAGCCTTGACATTGGGCCAAAAGCAGAGTAAACTCACACACACACACACACACGCACGCATTCATAAACACAACACCTATACTAGTCAGACTGCAAGGCGGCCGTATGCGAGTGTTGTTGTTGATAAAACTGATTGCATTGAACAGCAACAACAAGCCAGCTTGTCCGCCTTTAAATTCGCGCAATTTGGTTAATGAGCAAAAAGGGAGCTGCTCCCCATATTTTTCACATCACGCACATATATTACTCATCAGTTTTTACATTTCTCAGCAAAAGAACACCCAGTTTCAGTTAAATTACCTGCTTTTATTGTAAACTCCGACGTTGTACGATTCCACCACAAACTTTTATCGCGCTTAACGAAAATGTAATGGTTGTCCGTTTGAAACACCTCCATAGTGGGCGAGATTGCTAGCGCGTCGATTAATTTACTATTTTATTTGTGACATTGTAAAACTAAATTTGGTAACTTTAATCATCTACTGCATCTTCGCGTAACAACGACCGTTCAGCACTACGTACCATTGCTGATTACTTTTAGCTGGCGATACTGGCTTAGTGTTTCAACTGGCATCGATAGCCACATGCGTTGCATAGCAAGTAGCTTTGCACTATGAGTATTTAAACGGATGAGTTATGAACATTAAGATACGCGCCATCTTCAGTTTATGGGAAAACAAAACAAGCAAATTCGGAATAATCAAAGTTATATATAAAAACAGAACAAAATAATGCACACAAGTAATAACTTTCCTTCTGAGTGGGCTTATTTGCTTTTATTAATTTATTCTGCCCGAAATTGTTTCTGATAGTTTTAAATATTTGTAAAGGCTATTCATCTGATGAAGCAACAATTGTTACGCAAACATATGTATTTTAAATTCAAGGACATCAGACACTCCGGTAACAATTTGTATACAATATAATTAATAACATAAAATCAACATTCTAGCGTACTATTGTTAATCCACTACTTTTAGTTTTGTTAAAGCGGCCGACACCACTTAATACTTTGTCACAGCTTCATGAGTCACAGCTGCGTAAAACTCGTGACGTTAAAGTAACGGGTACTATGAATAAAATTGCTCATCTCCGCTTGTATGCATGTGTGTGTATATGTCTCAACAAATGTCAAGATGACAAAATAAATCAGAACAAATTGAATAACAATAACAAATAAGGGAAGTTTAACGTATTTCGATGGTGCTGCGTAGTATTAACAAATTGGACTTATTTATAAAACGATGCAGCGCCCCCACGTTATATCACTGCAGCGTTAGTGTGACTACAGGGGCGAACAGTAGAAGCAGCCACAGCGCGGCTCAGGCATCCACAGAAAGAAGCAGCGGTAAAAATAACAATAGCAATAGCGGCAGGAGTAATGACAGGAATGACGAAGGCCATAAATTCAGCTGGCAAGGCATTGTCCGGTTCTTCGTGCCTTTCTCTTTGGGTGCACTGGGCGCCACGCTCGTATCGCAAAAGGAGCAGGTGACTCCTTCCATTCAAGCGGCACGGGCGCTGACAGCTCGGAGACGTGACTACAACTTCATAGCAGACGTGGTAGCCGGATGCGCCGATTCCGTTGTCTACATAGAGATCAAGGATACACGTCACTTCGATTATTTCAGTGGGCAGCCCATAACAGCGTCTAATGGGTCTGGATTCATAATCGAACAGAACGGCCTGATCCTGACCAATGCGCATGTAGTGATAAATAAGCCGCACACCATGGTGCAAGTGCGCTTGTCCGATGGTCGGACGTTTCCCGCTACCATTGAGGACGTAGATCAAACCTCCGACTTGGCTACGCTGCGCATTCAAGTGAGCAATCTGTCTGTGATGAAGCTGGGGAAGAGCAGCACTTTGCGGTCTGGCGAATGGGTCGTTGCACTGGGTAGCCCACTTGCCTTGAGCAATACAGTGACAGCGGGAGTCATCAGCTCGACGCAGCGTGCTTCACAGGAGCTTGGGCTGCGCAATCGCGACATAAACTATTTACAAACTGATGCGGCCATCACCTTCGGAAACTCTGGCGGGCCGTTGGTTAACTTAGACGGCGAGGCCATCGGCGTTAACTCAATGAAAGTGACGGCGGGTATTAGTTTTGCTATTCCCATCGACTATGTTAAAGTATTCCTCGAACGCGCGGCAGAGCGCCGTAAAAAAGGCTCCACCTACAAGACGGGTTATCCTGTTAAGCGCTATATGGGCATTACCATGCTAACACTGACTCCCGATATACTCTTCGAGCTGAAGTCGCGTAGTCAAAATATGCCTGCCAATCTGGTTCACGGCGTGCTTGTCTGGAAGGTTATAGTGGGCTCACCGGCGCACAGGTAAGATCTCAGCTGCAGCATCTCCAGCTCCAATCGCTAAATACTCTTTTTTCTTCCACAGTGGTGGCCTGCAGCCCGGGGACATTGTAACGCATATCAACAAGAAGGAAATAAAGAACTCCTCCGATGTGTACGATGCACTTGCCGACAGCACCAAGGATCTGGAAATAGTTATCTTCCGCGGCGTGAAGCAGATGCGCGTGACGATCACGCCAGAGGACCCTTGAACACGCCAATTTATCAATGCCTTACTAATTTGGTTCAAGTACTAAAATAACTGGACTTTGCTATGCTTTGTGATTTGCAATAAAACCAAAAGCAAATGTTTTTAATTCATTTACCATAATAGGTAACCTAAACCATATGTATTTGTATTATAGGCATAAGTAATTAAATAGTACTAAATATCTAGTCTGTAACATTTGAGCATCTTAAAAAATTCGTTTCTAGCCATTGTTTTACCTTAGTAGAATATAAAAGGCTTACGCCAAGATGCTTTTGAAAATCTCTTTTTTCAGTTTGACTTGAAATATGTTGATTTTTTGGGAATGAACTACTATTCTTGTGGTAGTTACCAAACAAGCAGCCTGCAACCTATTCAAATTTAAAGAAAAATATATGTTTCTGTACGTAAAATTGTATTAACACTAGTTTTTACAAACCAATATTTTTGAATATAGTTCAAAATGTGGGGAAAAAAATCCGTCCTATTTGGATAAGAAGAGTACTCGTACAATTAAATCAAAACCACATTTTTCAAACAGCGATGTAAATAATAATAATACTTTAGAGTTAAAAAACCAAAGTCATGTTAAGACTAAATTCATACGATTCGAAACCAACCACTTCAGCTCCCAAAATTAGTCAGGCATTAATATCTTGGAAAAATTTAAGAAATTTGCGGTATTTGAAGAATGAAAGAATGAAGCACAGTTTACTATTTTCATCTTCAGTTTTGATTCCTATTTCGCCTATTCCCATCTGTCTGTATTTAGAACGTAAGAGAGATTATAAAAAATAGCCCGTCTTCAAAAACTTTTGGAAACGGTAAAGCCCGTGTTGAGAAAACCCGGAATACTACATTCGAGCTAATTCAGAACAAACGAGGGAAGACAATCTTAGCTCTATGATATAGTAAGCTGGTTGATATGGTTGGTCTAGAGATTTTGTTTACGTCCCTCAAATAGAAATATCCTTAAAAACAACGGTCAACGCGATATGATTCTTTCATTCTACACTACCCCCGGTTAACATTGGCTATATTATAGTTGCCAAAAAGAAAGGGATCCTTAATAAAACGCCAATGTAGCCCAAGGTGTAAAGAAATTACCTAAATAATTCCTGAACAGGATGCTGTTCAGAATCATCCTCGAAACATTATGTCACTTTAAATATTAAGGCAAAATTTCGCGCTAACTAAGTATTGGCAAGTACCAAGGCCAAACCTTCGAATTAGTAGGGATCGACCTAGGAAATTAATGTTTTACTCATAGGAAACTGTATGTTGACCTATCACGGGCGAAAGCTCCTGAAAATCAATTTATTTTGCTGCCACAAAATAAAACAACATCAAATATCGTTTACAGAGAAGTTCTGTCTCAATAATGAATAACAAAAAAGATAAAACGCTACAGTCAAGCAAGCCCGACAGTAAAATAGCCTGTACTCTCCACAAAAAGGAAAAATTAATAAAAAAAATTTTTTTTTTTAATTAAATTATTAAAAAAAAATGAATGAATGAATTAATTCAAATTAATTAATTAAATTAAATTAGAATACATGTTTATGTTCAGTTTTAACAGCATACATTTACATCACGTACCTATGCGTGTTTATATGCGTGTATGTATGCAGCACAAAGTTGAACCAAAGCAGCAACAACAACAACAGCTGCGGGCAGCGCTGCCGACAGAGCTGCAGGCAGCGCATGAGCAGCGATTTTACTTATGGCTATAACTTTCTTCAGAATTGACCTATTATGATGAAATTTGGCATTTTAGTACACATTAGTACTAACTGGATGTATCTACCAAAATTGATTTCAAAATTCCGAGAACTACGGAAGTTATAAGAAAAAACACGAATTGCGGGGGAGTGGGGGTGTATCAGAAAAAATAAACAAACTCGATCTGCCTAGGGCTTATAGGAACCTTGATACCAATTTTGGTTATCCTAGCTCTTGTACTTACTGAGATCCTTGCGCTCATACAGACAGACGGACAGACAGACGGATATGGCTATATCGACTCGTCTTCTCATCCTGATCAAGAATATATATACTTTGTGGGGTCTGCCACGCCTCCTTTTGTGTGTTACATACATACGCACAAAACTAGTATAGCCTTTCACCCTTTGGGTACAGGCTATAAAAATCTCAAACAGAACATAAAATCCTTAAAATAATACTATCCTACCTATGTTTATAAGATTCTCTATTTTAGTAACTCGCAGAAAATAGAATTGTGTGTGTGTGTTAGAAAATTTTTGTAAATTACCCGTGCAAGGCAAGGGGCAGGACGCTAGTGTTCTATGTATTTTTTTATCCCAAAAGATTATGTAAAGAGAGGTCTACAATAAAAATGGGAGGAATATCTGTGCTAACTGGGTTTATTTAGTTGAGATGAGATTATTGGTAGTTCCATTTTGATGTATAGATCTTCGCCCACCAACCTGGTTGCAACCTGAGCGACCTGATCATTATTGAAAACTAAGTATAAAGCCATAAGTTACCATACGGTGGGCACATTTGTACAAGAGTGTCTGAAAGCATCTTCGATTTCTCTTTCCGGTCGTGGAGGGGCATGTAGTGCGTGTGTCTTTGCGTGCGACTTGTGGTCGGGCGACCGCGACAGCGACAAAAATGTATTTACGCTAATTGAAATATCTTGCGTTTCGATCAAATCGATGCCATATTTTTGTAGGCCAAAAACCGACAGCAGCAACGGCAACGAGACAGCAGGCAACAGACGGGCAGACAGAGAGGCAGAGAGACGGACACGTCGAAATGCAAATTTCAATAAATTTATGCAACTGCGTTCCCTGCACTTTGTTTTGTGGGTGACATGCCCCAATCGGCTTGTTTGGCGCTGTCTTCTTGCTGTTGTTTTGGCTGCCTCGCTGCGTGAAAAGTGAAATTCTTGTGATTATTAATTTTATTTTCGCTTTTGCGACGTTGCTCTGCTTTTTAGTTTTGCATATAAATTCACTTTTGGGCGCTGTCTGCTTCAAAATACCCCTCCCATTCCGCGTCACCGCCCCCGAATTGGTGCGCATTGAATTGAATTTTGAATCGGAATCGGATTCGGAATTCGTCGTTATTGTCGGGCGGACGGGTTGTTTATGAGACAGCGGCCTTTTATGACACTGTTGGCACTAAGTTACTTATATTGCTTATAAGCCGCACGCATAAATGCAGCTTAAAGTTCATAAATTTGCAATATGCTGTAGGTTAAACAAACAGACCTTTTTCGGCATTTCGCTTTTCGCACTTTCTTTTACTCAGCACCGACCCTGTCATAATTTTCTCTTTTCTTCCCCCCTCTTGTCCAAGCACGACCATCTGCGACTGCGACTACAACTAATTGAAATATTTAAAATGCATAAAAGTATCACATTTAAACTTTGCAATTAGTTTGTGGTGGCCAAAGTCATCGTCATCGTCGTCACCATCGTTGTTGTTGTTGTTGTTATTGTTGCTGTCGTTTTTGAGCCGAGCGCTTAAATTTCAAACCTGTGAGAAATTTTTAAACAGCTTTACTTTTTTTTTTTGCCTATTTCTTCTCTTTTTAAAATTAAGATCACAGCGTCGTTATTGCGGTAAGTGCTGCTCGGGCATCTAAGCGCACATTTTGTGGCTGAGATCATGTTCGAATGCTACCCATGTAGGTACATATAGTATGTACGTATATGCTATATGTATGTATAAGTATACAAGTATATGTATACGGATTGTGTGGCTAGAAACCCACAGTAGTCGGTTGGTTGGCTGATTTGGACGCGCCTTTTTTGCCAAATTGCGCTTTGGCTTCGGCTCACACTTTCTGAAAAAGGCAATAATTATGAAATGTATAAAAGAGTAGGGCAGTATACACAGAATTGGGTGCGGCTCGGCTTAGTGGCTCGGATTATTCTACTATACAGCAGAGTAGAGAAATACTAACCGAATACTCTTTGTATTGGCTTTTCTAAAAACAAAGTAGCAGTGGGGAAACATCTTAAATCTACGGCAGGCGCTAAAAACTGTTTACACTTTTTTCAATAAACATTTTAAGCATTTTCTATTATATGCAACAAAAATTTATAACTTTTATATCTTTTAGTATTTTTACATAAATTTGACTCAAAGCTAACTACAAATTCATTTAAACTGTTCCTTGTTTGTAGTAGAATTTGAAGTGAGTCGTGTTCGTCTTTCAGATCAAGTTGTAAATTTACGTGCAGGATTTTTACTATAGTAAATTGAAATGTTGTGTAGAAAGTTATGTCACTATTATTTGTATAAGAAACAAAGTAATTAAAAATATCAAAGAATGTGTTTCATATCCATTTTCTGTTTGATATAGAAGGAGGCACGCCCGAAACGAAAAAGTACAACATTTAAAATAATTTCCACTTTCTGTTGAAGAATTAATGTAAATACATACTTGTTATTTATCCAAAAATGTTGTGTCGGTTATTGAAGGCAGTATCTCCGACCCGATAAAGTATACATATACTATAAAGTATATTCTTATAAAGATTAATACAGGCGTATTCTATGTGCTGTCGTTGTTTGTTTTTCGTCGCTTCTGTCCACAATGCAAAAGCTACATAATCCCTTATTCTAGGAAAAGGTATGGCGAAGCCAGCGTGTTCGCGAACTTAGCTTGTTCAATCTTCTTCTTGTTCCTGCTATGCACAAATATAACAACGCACAGCGGCGGAAGTCGTGCCTGCTCGACTGTAACTCCTTTTCCATTTTCCAGTATTTATTTCTTTTTTTTTTTGCAATGGCTTCAATTGCCAGCATTACTTTAAATTTTATGTCATTCGGCATTAAGCTATAGTTATAAATTATATGCCCAATAAAATGTTTATGATTTTCATTTTATTGCAACTAATCTTTTTTCCTAATATTATACATTTTATTGCAATAAGTTGAACTGTTATATTAATTTTAATAACAGATTGTTAGTAGAACTTTAAACTATATCCAAAGAAAAGCATATGAAAGTCATTTGAAAAATTGTGAAGGAAGAAATTCATGAAATATCAACTTATTGTGCGATTAGTGCTGTACGATTATTTACAATAGAAAATGATACACACCAATTCTGTTTTTACGCGGTCTTTTTTTGCACGATTTTGATACAACACGGTTTGAACATAAAAAATTTCATATATATTTTGTTAGAGATAAGGAGCCAATCGCCTCTTTTTG